TAAAATTTATTGTCACGAGTTTAAATTTAAAATTAAGTTGAATATTAAATTTAATTCTAGGATGAGTAATGAAAATTAAAATCAAGATAAATATTGGAAATTATAAAAGTTAAAATGAGGATTCAAGATTAAAATTTAAATAAAACTTAGAAAGCGAAGAGATTCAGAAATAAAAATTTAGGCACGTAATTTATTAAAGGCATTGAGAACCCTTAAATAAATCACGTTTTTCTTCTTGGAGGGGGTTGTGACGTCTCTCGCGTTCTTCTTCTAACATAACTCCTAATTTCTTTGACGGCCACGATTAATGGCAAAACTTTTCCAACCCAATACCAAGAAGAGAAACAAAACGAAAATGCAAATGGGATATACTTTAAAAGGATAGAAGGTTTGGTGAGATAGGACGACAAGCCTAGAGATAACTTAGTGTGGAATTGTTCGAAATAAATGTTAGACGTCCTACAGCTCTGGAAGAAGGATACGCTCATCGCAATTGAATATAATAAGGATTAAGAAAGCCTGAGTCTTCTCACCTACAATTAACATAATAGGAATTTCTTCAACCTAGGAAGGAAGGTGACTCTATAAAAGGTAATATTTTGTATAGGAAGTTAGATTAGACAGTTAAATTATTATAATTAAGATAAGTGATCTAGTTGTGCGATCTGACTTGAATATAAAGTTTAATTGGCGGCTTATTCTCATTTTAAGAAAGTTGTTATTTAGAATTAAGTAAATTAAGTTATTCTTAATAAAAGTTGTGTTAAGAATCGCAAATGTCTCATCTTTTAGATAATCCTACACCTCTCGCTTACGCGGATCACGTAAGACATGGCTATCGCAGGATGGCTATGTCTCAATGGCGCCCGAACTCTTTTAATTCTGGGTTAGGTAATGCAGGTGGATGTAATGTATTACCTGAAATGTATTTTTCAGGGTCGGAGAACATTACAGAGTTCCTCGAAACAATAGATAACCAAATACAGTTACTTGAAATCCCAAGTAATCTGTCATGTGCTTACTTGAAAAGTCATCTCAGGGGAAGGGCTCAAGATTGGTACTCAATATTTGGATCGGTGCTAGTGCAAGATACAGCCACGGATTTCGCGCAGCTCAAGGCTGAATTAGCGAAAGCTTTTCCCGCAATCAAAAATAAGAAAGAATTGGAAGCTAGATTTTTTGCTTCACAGCAGGGAAGAAATCAGGAACCCACTGATTTTGTGTACGATTTATTAAAAATAGAGAAAAATTTAGAACTAGGAATGTCGCAGACAGAATTGGTGGATCATATTTTAGTTCGACTCGAACCACAGATCCAGGACTACGTGGAAGTGCGCAATCCGCAGAACACGGTACAACTTTTGGGAGTCTTAGCTAAATTCGAAGAGAGGTATTCTTGCAAATCAAAAAGGGCTTCACAGAATAATGATAATGTAGAAAGACGAGGTCAAAACGCGCATAGGAGGCCTAATTTTGATGCTAATGGTAGAAACTGGAGAAATTCTGAGGTTGGAAGTAGACCAAATAATGGTAGAAATGATTTTTATGAGAATAGCCGTCAAAGTAATAGAGGGTTCGAGAGGAATAGATTTCAGAATAGTGATCAGAGATTCAACAACAGGGGTTACCAATTTCGAAATGAGCGAAATGATAATTTTAATAGAGGGGACCGTAGAA